GGGGGGGGGGGAGTTGGGGGAGAACAACTCTTGGGGCAGGTACTGAGCCTTGAGAAGCCCTGAAGGCTGAGTTAAGGTCCCACAACTTTCTATCCAGGACACTGGTGAGCCCCCTGTCTGATCTGTGTTCAAGGAAGTGTTTGTAGTGAACCACAGCTGTAGGATGTGGGGACTTTTGCTTTCTCCAGTCCCCTATTCTCTACCAGCCCCCAACTCTAGCCCTCCCCACGTTGACTTGCCTCACCTGGAGGCAGCAGACAGCAGACCAGAAGCAGAGAGATGAGCAGAGTCCAGCAGGCCCTGGGCAATGGCCCCAAGGGCACCATGGTGGCCAGCCTGTGGAGGATAGTGCTGCCTTAATGTAGCACCGAGCAGAGCAGCAGGAAGCAGATGGGGCCACCCAGAAACAGAAGCACAGCCACGGAAGTTAAGGTTGCGGAAGTTAAGGTTGCAGTTGGGGCTGCACCTTGTTCAGGCCCGGGGGAGGGCAGGGAGGATGATCTGTGGCCCCGGAGGTGCAGAGTGGGGAGCCCAACTAGCGCCTGGGCGCAGGGCACTGTTGAATCTCTGACTGGGTGAGCTTCAGTTACACTTCTGGCTCCCAAATGAATTCACAGGAAATACAAACACAGTCATCTTCCTTTGTTCTCATTACTGAGGGCCTTGGGGGCAGGGGGTTGGAGGAAGGTGAGAAACTTCCTTCCTATTGAACTTAGGTGAATGTGTAATTGTACAGAGACTTCATTTCTTTGATATGACCTTTTCTCCTTTCTTTCCTTGTGATCAAACTGGCCTCATTCCACACCCTAACTCTTCCACCTCTCCCTTGTAGGTCCACTCCCTTTATCTCTAAACCTTTAGGACAATGAGGTTCTGGTCAGCATCAAATAATCTTAGGAACAAAGCCCAGGGTCTATTGACCACAGAGGAAGATAACATCTAGGCCTGAGTTGTATTTCAGCTAGGGACCCAAGGAAGTTGAATAATCTCACCAACCAAATCCTTGCAAAACCAGACAATGGAGCCATGGCTGACATCAGGACCAGATGCAATGATCAGCTACCCCTTCCTTACCCTAGAGCAGACTCATCAATAGAGACCACATCCCTAACTCCCTTAGTCCCCTATATAACCCATCCCCAGGAAGCCATCAGGGAGCCAGGTCTTTGAGCACAAGCTCACCTGTGACTCAGGTATAGCACCATTCCCTTAATAAACCTTTACTTTCTTGGCTGCAAACTCCTGTTTGCTTTTGATTGGGCTTTGATGCATGCAGGTAACCAAACCCTTTAGTTCAGTAACAAAGGGGAAGGTGTTCTGTTCTAGAAAGGTAATGGGTGACCTCCAGACTCTGTCCTTGAAGTGATAAGGTGGGATTTCAAGGCAACATTTCAAGAGAACAACAGGGGACTTCGAGGCAGGGCCTCAAGGGGTTAGTGTGAGATCTCAGCATTCTTGGGGGACAAATAAGAGATTTGGAGGTGATAAAGACAGATCCCCTAAGATGAGTAAAGCCATGAAAATGAACAGAGCCCACATTTATTGGGCTCTTGTGCCAAGCTCCTTGTTGGCCCCTGGAGTGGCTCCTGTAGGGCCCTTTACCTTTGAAGGTTTTGGGAGATCCCCACATTCCCTATGCACAGTGGTGAGGTGGGGTTGTTAGGGAACAAATGAATCCTGAGACACCATCTGTCAAGGATGCTACTTATTTTTGTTTTTTTAACTTTTTAAATTGATTTTTAGAGAGAGAGGAAGAGAGAGAAACATCAACGTGAGAGCAAAACATCTATGGGTAGCCTCCTGCATGCCCTGCAACCCGGGCATGTGCCCTGACTGGGAATCAAACTGCGATCTTCTCGATCATAGGTCGATGCTCAACCGCTGAGCCAGGCTCCAATCTGCCTCTTGTTCCTCTGATCTGGGTTCCAGTGAAGGACCTGTTGAGGGCCTTGATGGCACCCAGCACTCATCCACTCTCCCCATCACTAAGGCCATGCCCCCTCTTCTGTCACCTGGCACACCTCCCCCTCCAATCAGGGGTCTCCTCTGCTGCCCTGCTCCCCCATCTATTTCCTAGAGGGTGCTGAAAGGGCAAATAAAACTCAAAAGTATTTGTAAATAATATATCTGATAAGAGATTATATCCAGATTATAAAGAATTTTTATAACTCAACAGCAAAAACTCATTCAAAACTGGGCAAAGAAATTGAATAAATATTTCTCCAAAGAAAAGGTGCTCAACATTATTAGTTATTAGGGAAATGCAAATCAAAACCACAATGAGATAGTACTTCACACCTATTAAGATGGCTACACTAAAAAAAAACAAAAACAGAAAACAGCAAGTGTTGGTGAGGATATGGAGAAACTGGAACATTCATACTTTGCTGGGAATATAAAACTTTGATTGTTCCTCCAAAAGTTAAACAGAATGATCCAGCAATTCCTCCTAAAATAATTGAAAGCAGGGATTCAGGCCCTGGCCAGGTAGCTCAGTTGGTTGGAGAGTTGTCCTGATACGTCAAGGCTGCGGGTTCCGTCCTCGGTCAGGGCACATACAAGAAGCAACCAATGAATGCATAAATAAGTGGAACAACAAATCAGTGTTTCTCTTTCTCTCAGGAGAAAATCAGTCAATCAATAATAAATAAAATTCTTTAAAAAAAAGAGAGCCAGGACTCAAAAAGATATTTGCACACCAATGTTCATAGCAGCACTGTTCACAATAGCCAAAGGTGGAAACAACCCAAGTTCCATCAACAGATGACTGGGTAAACAAAATGTGTTGTATACATGCAATAGAATATGATTAAGCCTTAAAAAGAAAGTTCTCGGGAAGAGATTAACCAAAGAACTTATATGTATATATGCATAGCACACAGACACAGACAATAGTGTGGTGAAGGCCTGGGATGAGGCGGGGGCTGGGTGGAGTGGGGCAAAGGAGGGGAAAATGGCATATCTGTAACACCGTCAACAATAAAAAATTAAAAAAAAGGAAATTCTGACACATACTACAGGAAAACCACCTTATTTCTTCAACAAGTATGTTGCAAGGGGGGAAAAAGGAAGAGAAACCTTCAGTCCTCAGCCAAATGCAGTGTGTGAACCTTGTCTGGATTTCTGTTTGAACAAACTAAACAAATGAACACCAAATATTTGAGAGACAATTAGGGAAATCTCACAGACTACACAGTGATATTGAGAAATTGTTAAACTTTTTAGGTGTGATGATACTGTAGTGATTGTTTGTGGTTACATCTTTTTGAGATACATACGGAAGTTTTTACAGGTAAAATGATATATCTGGGATTTGTTTCAAAATGATCCAGTGGCAGAGGTGGGTGTGGGGGTAGAGTTGGAATATATGACTGGCCACAGGTGTTGGAAGCTGTTGGTGCTGGCTGTTCATTATGTTATTCTCCCTTGCTTTGCATATGCTTTAAATTGTTCATATAAAAGTTATTTTTAAAGTAGCTACACAAAAAAAGGCCAAGATAATTTTGGGAGAATAAATACCCTATCAAATATCAAGACATATTTTAGTGGCAACATCCTTCCCAATTATCAGGCTAGATCATGTGAGCAGCGATTCCTGTTGAGAATTTGTCCTACAGGTACCTTGAATGTGGGTGGAACAATGTGCACACGCTTACTCACTGCAGCAGCATACTGGACACAGCAAAGGATTAGAAATAACTGCATGGACCCCAACAGGGACTATAATACAACCACAAAATAGAACAAGGAAATACTGTAGGCCTAGATATATGCAACCATCTCCAAGACCTATTACATAGGGAAAAAAGAGCAAGGATACGACTAGAGCTGCTACTATATGTGTACAGACTTCCCTGTATCTTGATGAAATGTCTCTGGAAGCAAAAACAGGAAACCAGATGACATTAGTTGCCTCCAGGGAGGTGACAGTGGTGGCTAATGGGAAGGAGGGAGATATTTCACTGCTTATGTCAATATTACCTATCCAAAAAAAGATAATTATAATGAATATTTAATTTTGAAAACTGTTATAAAAAGGAAATAGCACTAGAATCGTGTGGAATTGTCCCTTCATGAGAGCTTCAATGCATAAGGTCTTGAGAAGTCCTATGGGAAAGCAAATTACTTAACTGCTTTTCACAATGTGGCTGACACATCACCCGTCTCAAGTACAAGTATTAAGTAGAAGCACTTTGACAAACACCAGATTAACAATATCGAATGTTTATTAAGCAATTGTTTGCATATCTCTCAGCTAAGCATTTGACATACGCAACCTTATAGTTCTTTACATTAGTCCTCCAAGGTAGCAAGCATGACCATCTGAAGTTCGTAGTTGAGAACTGAGGCCCAGATAGGGAAAGTCACTTGCCTGAGGTTGCACAGGGAGGAAAAGGTGAAACCGACAGTCTCACCAACATGGCATGTGGCTCCCCAAATCCTTTGCTGGTATATGTAACAAGTAGTTACTGAGCGCCTTCTGTGTTCCTGGCACTAGTGTACCTGCTAGCTAGTGATTCAGAGGTGAGTAAAGGTTGAATAGTTGAATGTGGCTTCTTCTGTAGTGAGTGTCTCACTGTAGCTACAGTCCCCAGAAGAATAGGCACTTGCTGATGAAGGACCCAGAGTACAGCCTCCAGCAGAGGAAATAGGAGTTTATTACTAGCTAGTAGAGGTGGTGGGCTCTTAGGGTGGGGGCTGGGGAAAGGCATAAAGATTGGATTCAAGGGACTGATTAGTTCCTTGTCTTGGGTCCCTCCAGAGCCTGTGCCAGACTCATGACTGTGGAAGATGCTATGGTTTGAATGTTTATGTCCCTTCAAGATTCAGATGTTGAAATCTAAATGCCTCATGTGATGGTATTAGGAGGTGGGTCTTTAGGAGGTGCTTAGGTCTCTAAAAGAGGCTCCAGAAAGATCCCTTGCCCCCTTCCACCCTGTGAGGACACAGTGAGAAGGTGCAGGCTATGAATCAGGAAGAGGGCCTTCACACAAATGTAACCACACTAGCATCTTGATCTTTGACTTCCCAGACTCCAGAACTGAGAAAAAAATTTCTGGCTTTTTTGTGTCTTTTACAATATTTATATTAAAATTAATATATTTTTTATTTATTTCAGAGAGAGGAAGGGAGAGGGATAGAAACATCAATGATGAGAGAGTCATTGATTGGCTGCCTCGTGAACGCCCCCTACCAGGCATCAAGCCTGAAACCCGGGCATATGCCCTGACCAGGAACTGAACCTTGATCTCCTGGATCATAGGTTGATGCTCAACTGCTAAGCCACACTAGCCAGGCCAGGCTTTTTTTATTTGTTTGTTTGATTTCAGAGAGAGGGAAAGGGAGATAGAAACATCAATGATGAGAGTAATTGATCGGCTGCCTCCTGCAAGCCCCCCACTGAGGATAGAGCCGGCAACCTGGGCATGTGCCCTGACTGGGAATCGAACCGTGACCTCCTGGTCATAGGTCGACACTCAACCACTGAGCCACACCAGCATGACAATTTCTGTTGTTTATAAGCTACCCAGCCTGTGGTATTCTGTTATAACAAGCTGAACAGATGAAGACAAGGAAACTCAGGTCACAGACCTGGATCTCAGGGAGTAATGCACAGGGAGTGGGTGAAGCCAACTTCCCCCTGGGGTAGAAGTAGGAGGCCCTCTCTGCAGGTACTACCTGCTCTGATTCGTGGAAGCAGAGCCGCTGGTAGGCTTCAGCAGACACTGAACACCGATGGGGCCTGGCCCTGGTATTTCTCGTGGACCGTTTTCAGGATGGGTATGAGGTTCTGGAAGGTTGGGCGAAATGAGGCCTCTGCCTCCCAGCAGTTCTTCATGAGTAGATAGATCTGGGGAGGAAAAAACTGGAGCTGTGGTCACTGCTCTGTCCACAGTCTGATGACGGGGATAGGGGAAAGGTGGGGAGGTCTCACTTCATGGGGACATTTCTCTGGCCGTGGCAGCCTCTCCCCTCGTTCCAGCAGCTCAGTGAGCCTCAGTACTGTCATCTGCCCCTGGGTGAGGCCTATGAGCTCGATGAATTTCTACAGAAGAAACAAGACAAGTCTTCAACAGGCAGGGCCTAAGTAGAGACCAGGAGCTTGCAGTGGGACTACAGGGGTTCTAGTCCTGCTTCTACCACTTCTCAGCTGCATAAGTTTGGACTTAAGATCTCACTTCTTTAGGCTTCAGTTTTCCCATCTGTAAAATGGGGTGAAAACATTGACCACCTAGGATGATTGTGAAAGTTAGAGAAAATCATATTCATACAGTAAGTCTGAATCAGATGTTTGCCTTGTTATTAAGCCTCCCAGCAGGTTGTTTTTGCCTGGACAGGATCTTTTTCCTCCCTCCTATCTAGGCACTCGGATTGATTTTGGGAATAAACACCTAACATTCTCTTGGCTCCTCCCCCAGCCCAGGCCTGGCCAGGAATTATGGCTCGTGGATACACAGTGATTGGCTCCCTGGAGGACACATGAGCCAAGCTGGGCCAATCAGAGAGTCCTGAAAATTAAGCTGGAAAGACGACCCTTTTTCCCCTCAGCTTGGGGGAATGGCTGCCTG